TACTCTATCACTGTCATGGAAGTGAGAGGATGTGGGTAATAAGCAATAATAAATTATAAATGTCTCCTCCTCAATGTGGAATCTCAAAGTCTCAGACACCACAATATGGCAAGAACCAGGATCTTACCTGCTCCAACACTGGCAGTATAAGCAGCTGGAATAGAGGATGGAATGGGAACCATCACATCATCTGTGTGCCTTTACGGAGCATCACAGGAGCTACACAGAGCTTGTGTCACTGGCAGTGATGCACATCAAGCCAAAATAGAGGAAAGCTGGGCCCATCTACAATTTTCTTCAGCCTTTTTAATTGTTTTAACAGTATATTTAGTTGTATGCGGGTGAGGTATAAAAATCCCGAGAATACACTTCAAAGCTACTAACATAAGATCTTTAGTACCATGATTTCTGCTATTCAAAGTCTTGGGCCTTGCTCACATTGTAATGTCTCATTTTGATCTGTATGAGGATCACTTAGCACAGATACAAGAGGGCTGTAATTAGCAGCTTCATCACAACCCTATTTTTGGTAGCGTAGAGCAAGCAGCTTTTGTCAGCACAATTATGTTAGGCACAAATTATCCCTCAGTTGCCATAGTCGTGTTTGTAGAAGCATGGTTTGGACACCAAGCCAGACCATCCAGCTTCTCAGCAATCCTGTTTTGGCAGTCACCCTGATAGTTAAAGCTTCATCTTTGACAATTCTGACTTTGGCTTTACTGCCAGGCATTAAATATCTTATTTCATTAGCTCCCTGTGCAAGTCCTCAAATGTAGAAGTACTTGCAACAAAGTGATCAGGTAGTCTACTTCCACAAAAAAAAACAAACAAACAACAAAACAAATTTAAAATCCAACCACCAAAAAATACAAAACAAAAACAACTTGAAAAAAAACAATACAGACCATACATACTAACATACAAAAAGTACATCGTTCTCTCAGGATAATGTGCTCCATATGGCTAAAACATTAAGGATGCCAATCTTTGTACATCAAGAAAATTGTTCAACAGAACTCAAATATACTGCTACTGACAAATGATTCACATTAAATCATTTTCAGCAGAAGTTCCAACTAATATATGCTAGCCACAAAGTTTTCTAATTGTAATCAATGTGCACTACATCAATTCAGCTCAGATGCATTCTTTGTTCAGCTTTCTAGCTGTTCTGACGAAGTCCCTTCAAAAAAGAACTTGAATAAGACAATTATGAACTGTGCTAAATGTCCTTTCCCTCAGTACTTGTATCTCTAATCAATAGTTATCATTACAGATGTAAGAGTAGCAGTGATCTCTTTAAACTAAAAAATAGTCACAAAAGCAAGACAATTCCTAATTAAGGTTGATATTTCCAATTTGTTCTATCCACCCTACATGCCACTGGTTTCAGAGTCTGTCAAGTCTGAAGACTGAAGCTGCATCATGGGATTCAATAGGAACTGAGAACAACCTGGTTCCGAGTCCTCATGCTTTGAGACGGACTTGAAATTTTATCAATCAGTAGTGGCTCCTGTGACACTTAAGATGTCACAGTGAAATTGTCTTTCCTTTCAGAGTATCCAAAATAGCCTTCTGCACTACCAACAGATAAATCCTGGTTTCATGCAGATGTTTGCTATGACTCCATTATCACTGTTGCATTGCATGTATGCATTCCTCCTTCTTATCAGGTGCCCCACTCACTGCTGAGGATTGAATGGTGTCCTTAGAATTTGGCAAAGTAGACATTGCTACTCTGAGTGAAGCAATTTTAAGAAATCTATAACAACAACTGGGTTTTTTCCAGGAAGAACTGACATTTTTCAGCAGCTTGGTTACACTTAGATTTTTCCAAATATATTTAAAGCCACTGAAGACTGAAGCAAGCAACAAGTTTTAGTCAAGATGAAGTATTCCATTGTATTAATCTATTTGTGATCTATTAATTAGACACTTTTTTCAGAAGACAAATAAAAATCTTGGAGGGAAAAATCAGAAGATTCTCAGTTCTATGTAATAGCCATTAAATATTTAGGCAGAGAAGTATTTTGATGTTAAAAAAAAAAAAGGACTGAAACTTCTCATGGTTTCTCTCAGTTGTTTGCATCGTTCCACTATATTGATAAAAGGAAGTTAAGAAAAATAACTTGGATCAGGATTGAAGTTATTTTACAGCATTCCTTGCATCAAAGTGAGGGAACTAAAGCAGGGAAAAGCCAGGTGAGGTTAGACACTGCAGGCTCAAGCTTTGGTTTTACAGTTCTAAATGTCTGACTTAGCTGCTGAATGTCTGGAGCTAAAAAGAAATGGTAGGAAAGAATATGCTTATGTAAAAAGAAAATCGATATAAATATGTCTTGCATTTGTCAAAAGGCAGGGAAAATACTGAAATATTGAATAGTGAGGTCATCTTGTTTACTTCAAAGTGCTGCATGGCTTTATTGATTAAACTGGTAAATATGAAACTGGCACGAGTTACGATAAATTCAGAGAGCAAGACTATTTCTTCAAACAGATAAAGTATCAAAGCATTCATTCAATTAATAGAATTTATATACAAAAAATTCACAAGACAGCATCTTTTCATTTTGCTGAACTCCAGCATGGAGTGTGAAAGAATGGGATCCCACAGTCCCCTTACCTAAAGACAGCTCATCCATCAGACAGAAAATTGTTTATCAGTGGGGTAACTGTTTGACTTATTCCCAATCCCATGGCAAAACAGGATGCCCAGATTTAATTTTTATTATGCAAAATAAATTATCCTCTGGAAATCCTGAATAAAAAAAAGTTTCCTGGAGCCAAAAGTGTCACATTTTAGCATAATTTGGGATTACAGTCTAAAACCTTTTTCTTTAGTGGACAGCAAACAGGATTTCCCAATAATGTAAAACTATTTCTGATAAATTAATAAAGAGTAATTGTGGGTTTATTAACTCTTGAGCTTTTGCACTATCTTCATGCCCCGTGGCTGTCAGACATTCACAGCACAAATTGACCAATATAATCCATGGGCTGCAGTATGTTCATCCCATGGCTGTAAAAGTGGTATTTGTGCATGTGAAACCTCATCATGAGGAGAAAGGTTTTATTGAAACAAGAGTATCAAGATGCTAATGAAACTTAAACAGACAACTCATCCAGGATTAAAGGATATTTTCATTTATTTCCTAAAAGACAACTATCCAGTGTTAAAAGTGTTAAAACCTGAGGCTCCAAGTGACACATATGGATACCCTGATCCTCAGCTTCCCTAGGGATGGAACAGCTGAGGACAGGATGGAGTGGCTACATAAGCACACCCTTCTACTCATTCTTGAAAAACAATGTGAATTTTGCTGCAGTGAGAGCTCATTAAAACAGGTCACTTATCCAAGGAGAAGCACTAAGTATCAGTAGCCTGGAACAGAACTAAAGCAGAACTGCCCTAGCATTGTTGCAATTTTGTGAAAATATTTAGTGCATACACTTTTCTCAAACTCTTCTACTGCTTTATAAATTAAAACAGATTCATGAAAGGTTCTGCTAGAATACTGATGAGTACAAAATGAATATTACTTTCTGGCTCATTTCTCGATATTAAAATATTCCCCACAAAGCAAAATACATTTTTAAATGACCCCTGAAAGAATAAGCTATTTTCCAGGTATCAGTAAACAAATGTGGTTGTGCCATTTAAAACTGCTGATTTCTGAAGCAGATCTCCAGCACCTTTATCACTACAGACCTGGCTGCAGTTTCTTTCTTATGCCTTCAGACACAATCTTTCTTTTTGTGAGTCGGAAATCAATCAATCAGCCTTTGACAAGACAAATAGTTTACTTGCATTTTTTCTGTGCTGGTGGAAGCAACCCATTAAAATTAGATTTATTTTTTTTTAATATATGTGAGGTAGCTTTACAGCTTTAGTTTCAGCAAATAACACCACAGCTGAAAATCACATTTCCCCCCTTTTTCCTTCCACTGGCAACAGCTCTCCCTTATTACTTTTATCCACTAATGTTTTCTGAGTCACTTTATTTTGCTGACATGTATGGTCCCTCCCCTAATGAAAAGATGTGCAATCTATTGTTCACTAAAGCCATTTTGTTTCTGACAATGACAAAATACCTACTTTATGTCACGTTCTACTGCATGGCTAACAAGAACACAACATTTGAGCTGTACAACTGTATTCTTAAAGTCTCAAATTTGCACCATTTTTTAATATAATAATAATCCTATTAGCATAAATTCTCTGTTGTTGAATGATAACACACTCAAGTCAATTTAAATAGTTGAAATTATAGACTTTTATAGATCATTAAGACTACTAAAAAGATCATGCTAGCCCATTCTTGATCCAAAATTACATATCAGAGTCACCCTTACTTTGGTTTGAACACAGACTCAAATAATCTGATGTAATTTTTCTCCAGTTGTTTACAATTTGCTCTGTTCTACTCCTTTCAGTTTTGTAATCTCCACATTATAATATCTGTTGCAACCACAAATGTTATACACATGGCAGCTGATATTGAAGAACCGTATAAACATTTTTAGTTCAGTAAAATCTGCTGTAGGCATTCACAAAAAGCTCTGGCAATAACAATCTGATAATACAGTTTGAAGGTGTAATAACCAATTTTGAAAAAACGTTATGCTGATGAACATTGAAACTGATATTTAAGTTAAATAAATCAAATACTCTTAGTTATATGCTTATATCCTTTAAATTAAATGTGTTAAGTGCTTTTCTTTCCTGGAGCATACAAAGAAAAAAAGCAGAAATATTAACTTTTTTTGGGAATTACAGTATTTTAGAGCATTTGTCTTAAAGCATCAGTGCTCCTACATTTTATCCTACTTGTTTTTCTCTACATAAACTATACACATGTATTTAATCTTTTTTAATTTGTAGTTTCCCTAATCCCTACGCTCCCGAGAATGGTCCTGTGGGGCCTTCCAGCCCTGTGGTGCTTTATCCCTCCTCCATCCTGAGCAGGGCCACCACCACTGCTGGGAACCCCCTTCCTCACCTGCTTGGCGCCCACCTCCATCCTGTGGCTTCCCTCTCCTCAAGGAGCTTCCTCAGCTGAGCCGGGAAAACCGGGAATTCCTCCTCACACCTTCAGGGACTCCTCACCCTCCTGGAGATCGGGAGTTTGGCAGGAGAAGGCTGAAGTCAGGCCACCCGCCAGGGTAGGCGTGCTCTGCTCCCTCACCACAGAGTCCCAGGTAAGGACGTTCTCTCGGGCTCTTCCCAGAGCACCGCCTAAGAAGGGACCACAGCCCCAAAGAGAAGAGAGGATACATGGCAGCCGACACGGAGAGAGACATGAGCTTTCCTCCTCCGGGGCACCATCGCTGCCCTCATCTGTGCGGAGCGTGGGGCGGGCCCCGCCAGCCCCCTCAGCCGAGAGCTCACCCCGGGCACAGCAGGGGCAGCTGTTCCCTCCCGGCTCAGGGCTTTCCTAGAGAGCTGCTGGGAGCCCTGCAGCCCCGGAGGAAATTCCCACTTCCAGGTACTTCCCTCGGTTCCCCGTCTCCAGCGGCCTCTCACACCTTCCCGTGCCGGGCAGAACCCGGGAGGGTGCTGGGGGAGGAAAACCCAGCTCCCGTTAGCGGCCCCTTCCTCTGAGGGCCCCATTTTACCATTTAATCTGGTGAGAAACCAGCCGTGCAGCGGGTCTGGGGGGACTTCGCCTCTCCCCGGTGGTGTCAGCTCTGTGTTTGACAGGGTGACTTCGGGCAGGTGTGCAGCTCCTCTCCTCCATCCCACAGGGGCTGCTGTTCCTGCTTGTCCACGTGGAGCTTCTCCAAAGACTCTGGAAAGAGCAGCATTGAGGAAATGTCCTAGGTACAGTTCTTGTATTTTTCTTACTGTATATATACATGGTATTTTACCGTCCTGGTAAGCTGATTGGTTTTTAGATGCATAAATCTGTAAATCTCAGTAGATAGAGAGCTTTCTATACATCACCTTATGCAACCTATGTGTTGGTAGGAATATTTCAGGTGCAGTAGGAAGAAAATTATTGTGGCTAGTAGAAAGGAATAAAGATGTGTGGGGCTGGTTGGTTGGCTGGTTGGGTTTTTTTGGTTTGGGGTGGGGGCTTTTTTGCACTGCAGTAACTACTGCCGCTAGTTTGGTTAGTGGTTCTGGCAACAAACATCTCAACAGATAAATATCTTGGCTTCTTCCCATTCTGTATGTTGTGCAAAAATTCTGCCCTGACAGAATCTTTAATGTAAACATTGTGTAAGAATAGAATGGACATTGCTTCAACCACTCTCTTTAATTTATCAGAAATAAATGGGGGTTATGGAAATGGTATAAGTAAGTAGATACCTTAATTAATTGCTGAAAAGATACAAACCTTGAAAAAGAGCATTATTCAAACTAAATAAATTTTCATTCTTTACTATTAGTAATTTATTTCTTTGTCCAGCATACTTTCAGGTTCCTGAGTGTCTTCTCTTTCTTCCATTGGCAGGTGCTTACCTTGTCCTTTCAATCTGATTTGTTATTGCCAAGTTGCTATTTTGGACTCCTTGTCTTCTGTACTTTTGAGTTTTGGGGGTCTTTAGGGAGTTTTTAGTTGGCTGGGTTTTTTTGTTTGGTTGGGGGATATTTTTTTCCCAAATCATGTATTTTAAAAAGACGTAAAATGCTTCCTTTTGACAATAATTAGATTGCTACTTTTGGCCAGACAGGAATTGAATGGTCAAAAGAGTGGGTTGTGAATCTTGTTTTTGCTTAGGTGAGCAGTTGTAGTAGTGGAGAATGCTACTGACTCTCAAAACTGCAAGAGTGAGGTGTGAATGTTCTGGAATTGCTAAACTTAAAATATCTAATTCATGCGACAAACCCTCATTAAATTTTCCCTTGGTGATTCAAGTAATTTGGATAAAAAGTATACCTGCTGTGCTTTAGATTACAGCAGAAGAACTCTTCACTTTGAAAAGTTTTGAATTCAAGACCTACTGTTCAAAGACTGTGATCCATGTCTCAAAGTAATGAAACCAACTTGTTCCAGGCAATTCCATTTAAATAATTAGTAATTCAAAGCTGTAGAAGTTGTTTTAGTCTATAAAGTTCACACAATTCTAACATCAAGAATTTGTGAATAGCTAAACAAAAAAATAACTTATTTGAGTATTACTATAGTATTTGATATTTTAGTATTATTTGACAGTGCTCACTAAATAGCCTGGAAGAACTCATTTATATGAAATTCTGAAAAAGTGTTTTGAAGAGACTGAGTGCAATGTTTAGGCTTTCCTAACTGTCAGATTTCATATTTGGTAGTCAGATGTACAAATGGGTAATACAGCTATTGGAACTGAAAATAAAATATGAGAATTCTCTATAAAACACCAAAAAGGAATGAGGTAAGTGTGCCAATGCAAAGTACTTGTGCACAGTGAGCCCACCTGTGAACTAACAGAAGTGTGAGGGTGTTTTATTTCCTTGTAGACAGATTATTTTTAATCTTAAGCAATGTTAATGGAGTAACTGGCTTTAGGAATTAGTCATGGAACTTAAATATGACCTGAAAAGAAAGTAGTAACATTTTGTCCAGAATGTGGACTTTGTCCTAAATAAATGATTGTTGTCCTTGCTGACACCTTAAGAATTTTCCTTCATAAGGATATTACATTCCCCTACCCTTCTTTCACATCTTGTTAGTCAAGATGTTTATCTATATTAGAGTGGCTGACATTATACATTGTGTAAATAGCACAAATAATGAGTAACATGGATAGAAAAGAAGAAAATGAAGCTCTAAACAAGGCAGTAATGGCTGTAGAACCATTTTGTAGAACACAGCAAGTTAATACAATTTTTTAAATTACCATAATTTTCTTTCAAATCCATCTACAGCACTCATTCCATACTGTTCTTTCTCCAAGACAGAATGCTTCTCTCATTTCTCTTAATTCAATTGTTCTTATCTATATTTCTGTGGTGAGCACGTTTTTACAGCCAACTTTGGTTGGCTGTAACAAGGAATAGATGCAGGTAGAAAGCGAACCTTAGCAGAATGAAAGCACTGAAGTTTAAGAGCAGGTATGAAGTTGGATGTACAACTCAAAGCTCTGCTTCTGTGCATGTGTGGAGCTGTGCTTGGCATTAAGGACCATTTGCTGCTTATCTCACTCCTAAGCCTGATAAATATCCCTAAAGTAGCCATTTTTCTGCCTAAATCCAACATACAAGATCAGTAAGTGTTGAAAAGCACATTGAAGATGGGCGAGCAGGAATGGTTGGTGCACAAAACCCAGAAGTATTCTTATTCAAAGAATAAGGCATCTTATATTAAATCTTTGTAGAGGACAAAAAGATCAGACCTCCACTATCAGGTGAATTTTTAAGTTTAGTGACTCAGATTGCTCTAAGGAAGTTCTAGTTTCAAAATTAAAACAAACCCAAAAATAAACAACAACCAAAATGAAAACAAAGTCAAACCCCAAGAGCCACAAAGCCACAAATATCTAACTCTTAAGGGAATTTTTGGTTTATGTAAGATTGCACCAAGTGCAGAGAGGGGAAAGAGAGAGAATAAACTGCTGTAGGTGTTTCTATGGGTGATATTTCTGCCATCCCTCTGACTGATAGTGGTGGAAATATTCTGGAACACTGCACAGATATTTAAGAAATGGCTAGGAGTAATGTTTGCAGACAAAATTAGGAAAATAAGATGGGAGGGGGGAGGTCATAACTTCAGAAAACTTCCAGCCCTCTAGAAGTGGTGGGTTTTCTTTATCAAAATACCAGGAAAAGGTTAACAAAACTATCATAATCAAAGTTTTAGCTATCTTTTTTTCTGATACTTGAGTGTTATTTTCTTTGAGCTAGCTGTGCATTTCTCCTTCTGACTCCTTGTAGTTGATGCATAACAATTTTTAATTTTAAAATATTACATCCCCTCAGTCTGTAAATAGCAGTTTGGCACCTGCGGCTTTTCCAGGACTAATTATGGAGTTTTATTTCCTGATGCTTTAATTAATCTTGTGCTAGCTGTAAATGTCAGTACACAGTTTTACAGCATCTTTGCTGTTGGGAAGTCAAATAGTTGAAGGATTTTTCTAACAGAAGATAACTTCCTCTTCCCTTTCAATTTCCCAGGTCTAAATTTATGGCAAAATGCATCTGCCTGAAATGACTGCAGTGATTTTAGTGGAGTTGTGCATTTCTGAGCCCTGTTTCTTTGCATGCTGTCACTCATTGTTTTGCTTGTACTCCAAGCAGAGATCCAAGTGATCCATGTTTGTTCAGACTCTATATCCTCTTACCTTCAGTTACAATGCCTACAGGCTGGCGTTGCCCTTCTGATGTTAATATAACCTTAAGTTTTTCTACTCCAGAAATAGAAATAATGCTTCTGCCCAGTCACAGTTGGAACAGTTGTTAGCCAGAGAACTGCATAAGAAGCAATTTCCAAACTTGTCTCTCCTCTGGCTATGTAATATGAGAGTTATGAGAACCTAATGGCTAATAATGAGCTGCCTGTTTTTAATGAAAAACTATGTGCCGGTCTCACTGATAGCTCTTCCCAGTCTTTTTGTCAAAGACTTTTGGTCCTTTTATATCCTAGATAAAGCTTTCAAAATCTACCCAGTGTGCTTTTGAACTCCTTTTTCATGTGCATAATCCATGAAGCTTTACATTTTCTGGTAATTGTTGTAGCAAAAAGGTCTCTATATGAACTATTGGCAATCAATAAACTGCTAAGCAGTTTCCTAAACATTATACATAATGTTAAGTCTTATGTATTGTCCTTCCAAAACCAAGCCAACAAAAACCCTGGATTATTTTTGCTTTGAATAATTTAAGCTTTCTATAAGGGAATAAACCTACATTAAATCAATCTATCTATCTATCTATCTATCACTTTGGCTGACTAGAAGTGTATTAAAGGTGGTACCTTTCCCTTCACATGGACTTTGAATTTGTGTACCAGTTTTAGGAGCTTCTTTTTTACTTAAATAAAATCCAGAGCTTCCACAGTGTGGGCAGAAAATATCCATTTTTCTGTGAACACACTTGTGCATAGGAAGGAAAATTAGTTGTTGTAAGGATCTTATGTGGTAATAAATATCCCAATTTAAGAAC